TGTTTCCTTGTATCTCCACATATGTCAATTAGTTCCCATTTATTCCCTTTTAACTTGCATTGATGTGGTAAATTCTTGGAGGTAGACACTACTTTAATCTATTGCTTTTATAACACTAACCACGATGGATTAGTTTGAAGGAGTAGCACAATCTACGCATAAACACTTCTGTGAAGCAAAATGGCATTCTTCATACATGATTGTTCCTCTCCCTCTTTTCTCTGACAAACCAAACCTTATGGGTACCATCACATTTAATCCAACCTACCTTTCTTCTCTATGATCTTTTATTCCAAAACTTTGCAGTGGTTCCCTTGAATAATGCACCCCCATTCGCCCTGAGGGCCCGAAGTGCTGCCTGACCAGGGGTCCCACGTTTTCTGTCAGGCCACGTGCAGGACAGGCAAACCAGAGGGGCTATGCAAGACAAGCTCTCACCTTTCCCTTCAAAGTCCAGTGACCTTCTGCTTTCTTGCACTACTTTCAGCTCCTATAATTTCTAGCCAAGTGATGAAGACAAATACTGTTTCCCTTAAACACACAGAGAGAAAATACTGTCTGCTACACATTATCAGCATGTGTCTGCTGCGTGCTCTGCAACAATGATCCGAGTATGGAATTATTCAGAAAAATGCACTCTGCAGTTCATGTTTTCCCCATTGTGAGCTCTTCCAGAACCTCATGCCATCGGACATTCATTCTGGACATGGTACTAAGAATAGTTTCAAGCAGCGTATCCACTAAAAAAAAATAAAAATCCTTTATGCACTTAAGGATTTTATCGCCCAAGCAGTAAGGCTCTGAATAACCTCAGAGCAAAAACAGTTCCAAACAACTGAAATTTGCATGAGAAAATTCTGCTGTAGCAGCTGAGAGGAAGAAAACATTGCTTTTTCTAACAATTATACCTTACTTACCTAATAATTGAAGGCTTTTAATATTTTTATACAGAGATTAACAGTACACACATAACAAAGAAGATGACAATAGTGGGAACTCTTATCATGGTGTGGGCAATCATCAGAAACAGCAAATCCATTAAAATAAATTTTAAAAAAGACTACACTTTACAGCTTAGCAACTATTTCAAACTAAATAGATTTTGCAAAAGAAATAAAAAGAAATTTTAAAAACCTACCCTTCTTTTTATACTTATTAAAGTGGCGCCGTCCTTTGCCAGTAAGCCAAAAACAAACAGAATGAAAATAAAATAATGAAAAACCCACACAAGGAGAACAGGAAAAGAAACTGAGTATAACATAAATCTGAATCATTAGAGTTAAAAGAAGATTAAAGAGTCAACTGATCAAACAAGGTTTCAAAAATCTAAAAGCCTTGAATCTATTTAGATTAAAATATTAAACATGTTTCTTTTTGCATCATATAATTAACTAACAGTATCTGCTAAATGGCAACTGACAAGCTACTTAACTCATATTTTTCCTTCTTTTACAAATCAGACACCATTTCTTAACAGGCTATGCTCATTGTATCAACGGAGAAATCCCATGCCATGGTACATCGTTTCACCTTTTCAGTTTTGCTAAATATGGTTATGATGCAAAACTAGTATTTTAAAATACAAAATCAAAAGTGGCTCTGAGCACATTTTCAAAACAGTATATGCTAGTGTCTTTGGAAGTATTTTTGTTAATGGAAGGGAAGAGTTACATGCCTCTCCGAAATACCATGAGATGAAATCAAATTACAGCCAAATCAGAGTCACTTCTGGGAACCCAACTCCTTGCAACACTGAACTCTACAAATGGTGAAAAGCAGGACATGATGAAGGATTCCTGCCTGCAGATTTACCACAAGACTGCGCAATTACAAGACCAAAATATTACCAGACATAAACACTGGGAACACTAAGAAGGACATCTTGATATACTTGTGTGGGTATGTCATGGAAGTCACAGAAAAACAGAGATGTATATAAAAAAGTGGCAACACAAAACTAACAATCATAGCTGCAAGCCCAATTCTTTAATCAATCCTCGGTCTTAGCATCCCTTCTTATCAATGACTTCTATAGCTATTTCTGCACAGGAGGTTACTCACAGTGCAGTTCAATTCCAAGCAAATTTTCCACTGACTTTAAGCATGCACTCTTTCTTTATCAGGATACATCTCTACCCATAGAGTTATCTTTTGATTATGAGATTTTCCTTTTCTTTAAATGCCATATTTTAACCACATGAGATTAAAACGTATTACCTTTCTTGTGTGTTAGATGAAATTCTTAATTAGGTTAAACTCCACATGATTTCAAAGTGAATCCTGTCTGAGCAAGAATGAAGTAAATCTGTTGAGACTGGCTACCTGAGAATAACTTATTTCCACAGATAAGGGTGAGAATTAAAGCTCCAAGTATTTGGCGGGAGCATTTGGCAGGGTGAAATGTCCTCTAGTTCAATCAAGGCATGAAAGTGTATTTTAGCCCATGCGTTGGGCCAAAAGTTCAGCTCTTTCTAATCATTTTCATGGTACTTTCCTGGAGCTAATGGATCTCAAGCCCAATCTGTGCTCTCTCATATATTTCCTTCATTTTAAGCTTTCAGAACTACATGGATCAAGTAAAGTAACAGAAGGAGTACCCGTGCACTGGAGTACCTGTGCACTGTCTGTGAAGTGAGCATATGATTCCCCTCAAGATTCACTGCCTCTGATACCCTCAAAATCATCCTTGCAAACAGTGATTTAATAGTACAAAGGATCACACCTCACATCTCTCAAGCTTGGGTTTCACCCAGCATGAAGTTCTCAGGCTACTCTGTTATTGCATGAATCAAGTTCTGTGAGATATGTGAGGAGCTTGCTCACTTCTTCTCCGCATTTCCCTATTTGAATCTTGCCTTGCATTATTTTACAGTGGAGAACTGAGGTATTGAAAGATGTGTTGCTAGGGAAATAATAATAATAATAAAAAAATCAGATGGAAAGAAAAATAATTATCTTTCCATGCATGTGACAGTTTAAATAGAAACTTAACATTACAGTAAATATATAGTAAATGAGTCCAAACATCTAATATGCTGGAATAGATTTAATTTCTATCTCATTTTATTGTGTTTTATCATTCTTTCAATCCCCAATTTTGATTGCTATCTCCTGAAACTGCTCTCACATGTAATCAGCATTCAAGTAAGCTGAAAAACCTGTGGCCATGGGTAACAGTGCCCATGACATTGGTGAGGCACACTGCCTTTACACACTAACTCAGCCCCATGCTTCTGGGTATGTCTTACAGTGTCTTAAGATGTGCAGCTCTGTGCTTGTATATATACATGAGAATTCTGCCAATATACCCATTTTATCATTTTATGTAGTTTTTCAAGCTTCTTTGTTCTTTAGAAATACTATGATGTTTGACAAAGAAACGGTAAGACAGGTGAAAGAAGCTTCCACAAAACCTACTTTTGAGGGTAGAGAGACAACATACAAAGGACAAGGCAGGAAGCAGAGGGAAATTTCTCAGGGGCCGTTAGAAGCCTGACAGAGTTTGACAAGTACCCTATTAAAAGGTATCTGATGTAGCCTGAACAGACTATTTCCTAGCACAAAGACAGAATACAGCGTTACACAGAGGTTCAGTACACAATGCAGGATTGCTCCACAACTCAAAATGCAAATGAGCTGATTTAATGGCCATGTATGTGTAAAAAGTGGCAGTGAAGCACACAGTCATTACATGCATACTTTCACAGGTTAACACCACAGAAATGCATATAGCTGTCAGGGTATATTTATAGCACACATTATCACACCGTTTCCTTTGTGATATACAGATGTCTTCTCTATATACTTGCCAACCATCATAATTTCTCATGTAATCGAACAACATGCACTCTTTATTTGAAGCAGTCTTTCAATTGAGTAGGGCTAGTGCTGAGATAACATTACCTTCCCATGGCCCTTGGAATCTCTTTATTTTTTCCCCTACTGGGACACTTCTAGGAGCCAAATACAGAGATACAAAATAGAATGACTCTCCAGTATGGGTCTAGCAGCTATTCAAGGAGCACTTGGTAGCCAGGCACAGGTATGGTGGGTCCCACCCTGCTACACCAATGAAAGAGGTGGGGCCACAATGAACTGTCCTCAGAACTGGATCATGATCTAAGAAAAAATGAGTACCTTTCTAAGGCCCTTCAAGGCATTTTAACAGCTTTCAAATGCCATACTCTTGGAACACTAACAACTCTATCCCTGTGGAAAACAACTGTAAACAAGTAATAACTATAAGGGGCCTAAACCTCACATAAACTAAGGAAACAAATTGCAAAATGTTATAACTGTGCTCAGGAACATCTGGGAATTCAAGCAAGTCATTGATTTTAGACACCATATGTACTACTAGCTGTATAAACTAAAAAGGTCTTCCTTTATGAATCTTCCCTCTATGACAGCTATCCCAAACTCTCTGAAAAAAATTGTAAACACATACTGCCAATCCACAGACGTCTTTTGAAGTTCTGTTAAATCCTTGATAATCACAAATCTCTGAGTTTTAGTAGTTAAAATTTACAATCAAAACTCAATATAAGGTATATTTTAAGTACTATGCCAAGTCCTACTTACTTGCCTAAATAAAAGGTGAACTTCCTTTGGTGAGGAGCAATTGCATATGCAAGAAACCTACTATGAACTAGAAGCGTGGCTTAGCCAAGACAGAATATATATTACACTCTATTAACGAGATAATCAGTCTTTTATTACAGACCAATTCATGCTTATCAGAAAGCATTGATAATTCATCCACTTTTACAGAAAATAAATCTTTTCTGCCACTTCTGCCTTCTACATTTGACAAAAAAGTTGTAGCTAGGCAAGCACATCAGCAATGTGGCAATATTTCCACCTGATCATATTTAACTAAGAAAAAAAAGCGTATTGATCTACTTGAACCTAGCTTGGACCCATGCTAACTAGCAGGTGCTGTAGATCCATACATCTCAAACACACGCTGTGGTTATTTGTAAACACAAAGAAAACAATACCTTTAGCACAATCTGCTCCGTGAAATCCTGGAAAACAGTGGCAGACACCAGATACACATTCACCATTCCCATGACAATTGCGCGGACAGTCTTGCACTGAGTCTGAAATACAAGCATCACGGGTACATTAGTTGGCTCCTAGGTTGCAAGTTATTTGCCTAGATTTTCTTTAATTTTGTCTTCAATATTTGTAAGAACAACAGCTAATATTATTAACGCCACAGAGTTCAGGTGAAGTGGAAAGTTTCCAAGAGCTCTAGCAGCACGAGTAACTGTAGAGATGTAGTGATAGCCTACAAGTCGTATACCAAACCTTCTAACAACATTAGCACTCAAATCTACTGATAACACCCAAACCCTTCGTTCAAACAGGTAGACAAAACGGTTTCTTATGACCTTTATAACTATATTTGAACTCATGTTATGTATAAAACATAATGCTTCGACAGGGAAGTCGACAATCTTCCTCTTGCAATTTGACTTTGATCTTGCACAACGACTTTTCCACGTGGAACTGATTATCCCAAGGAGTGTAACTTTTTCTTCTACAGACACTGAAAGCTTCATTAAGAAAGTTGACAGAAACATCTGCTGTACCTGACAAAGAGTAGCTCTTTTGCTATGGCAAATAGTATTTATCCCCCTGTCCTCCCTCCCCCCAGTTTAAAAAAAAAAAAAAGGATGAAGAGGCCTGTAAAACCAGAGAGCAACATTTAACTCTGAAGTTAAAGTAACTGACTGAAGTGCTGAAGACTTCCATAGTCTGTGAAGTATAAGCACACCAGCCTGATGATAAAATTTCAGCTGTACCAAGCTATTTGCTTTTTTCCCTAATTTCTGTTATTATTTGGCTGACACAGTGTACTACTTTGCATAATATAAAGTGGAAATGAAACACCAATTCTGAAATTAATGCTTAGAATTCTATTCTATTTGAAGGCTGTTGGATTTGAGAGGAACATATTTTCAACACTGAATTATTGGAAGAAAAAGATAATTGTAATGTTGTAATTTCTCACTGTTACTCCCTGTTGTTGTAGGACCTATGGTGCTAAACTAAATGACTCTGTCAGTCCCAGACACCAACAAATAGCATCTACAGACGATGGAAGATAAATTTTGGATTTGGAACTAGTAGCACCATACAGAGTATTTTTCTGTCCAATTAAACTGAAAAGAGGAAAAGGAGTCAAGCCCAACTTCATATCTAATTTTACAGTTGCAAACACTAAGTAAATAATAATAAAAAACCTACAGAAAAATTTTAAAAGATGCCATTCACTTGGCCTCTTGAAATGATTCATGTAAATAATGGAAAGAAAAACTGTGATGTGAAATGGTCAAAAATATCGACTTATCTCATGAAGAAATGTGTCTAGAGATTTATTCATTATTTTGCTTCACGGCCCACAAAAGGATTTTCTTTGTATTCAAACCATGGTAAATTAAAACTATTGCCTGTGAGTTAACATCATTTGTGTTATTCTTTCTCCTCTCCCACATCAGAAAAACTTTCAGCTCTCTCAGATCCTTTGATTAGGAAATATCTGATACTGGGTGTGTGTAGAAGAACCTCTTAACTGGATAAAACACTATTTTTCTCTATATTTCAGTCCAATTACTACTATTGCACTATCATATAGTCTACCTGACTATTAGACCTTTGAAACTCCTGAAAGCTGTAGACAGGGCAGCCCTTTTAAGGACACCTTATCATACCTGATGATTTTCTAAGAAGCACAGTAGGGGAATACCAAGATAAAAGCTCAAATGTTGATGTTTTTGGAGAGGCAGAAAATGCCTTCTATGGACTAATTCACAAATCTATACATAAATAGGCACAGCGCCTAGTAACTCTCAAAACCACGTATGAGCTAGGGAAACAAAAAACAGTGTCTCACCTTAATTGAGGTTAATGGAAACAATTATATCCATACTTAGTGACACAGTATTGGCTATCCTCTTACACCCTTTAGGACTTAAGCCTACAAACTTTGTAGTGATGTAAAAGAAGAATTAAGCTTTAAAACATTAATCATGCAAGGCTGGAAAAGACCTCCAATTATTTATCAGACTTACAAACTCAGTTTGAATTTTTTGAATTTCTCTTTTTCTATACTAATGGAAATTACAGATTTACAAAATGCCAGTGCCATTTAATCCAAGCAGCCAGGATGGAATAGCATGTAGCCCATCTAGTAGTTTTTGATGCCACTGTGACAAGACAATCACCAAAGCTCATCAAGTACTTTAACAAATCTTCTGATTAAGATTGGAGAACATGCTCAGCGTGGCTTTCAACTAAATGGAACCCTATTCTAACAAAACTGCAGGCTTCTCAGAACACAGGCTGGATGCTCTTCTGCTCTTGTTCCATCATGTTGAGATGACGGCCCACCATTAGGTGAGTAGCAAGCTGGAAGACTGCTTATAGCTAATTAACAGAATGAAGTCATCTCTGGGGTGACTGCAAGCAACCCCATGCACAGGTGTCCTTTTCTTGTACTGTCTTTCCACAAAGACTAAGCACCTCTCCTGTTGGATACTATTCCCCCCAGGTGTAAAGCAGGTTCTCTGGAGAAGCAAATAGGTATAAACATGACAGAGATAAGGGGGAGGAATATTAACTGGGGAATGCTTCAGTCCAGGCTGAACTTATCTGACCATCTTGTTTCCCAGAACTAACCTCAAGAACTATAGGAATGCTAAAATCTTAGAAGAGAAATCAGGAAACTAAAATCAAAACCCCTTTAACAGACTTTTTGAGAGTAGTATTAAGAAACAATTGTGTAACAACATATGGACAAAAAGACTGAATGCTAAAGACTGTATTTTGACTTCAATCACGGAAAGGTATCAATAAGAGGAAAAACATTCAGCTTGTGGTGATACCTACCCAAAATAACTGTACTGAAAGAGACCACTTCTTTGTCCTTGCCATCATTGTAAAATGCCAGGTGCCACAAACCCACATCCAAGTACTGAACAAACACAGCCTCATTCTGAACGAGGGTCTGAATACTTCGACGTTCCCGTGGGGACTCCACCACACTCCATTTCTCTTTCCCATCCAAGCGTTCCATGAAATCATACTGCAAAGTAGAAAAAAAAGAAAAAAAAAAAGAAAACAAACAAAACCCCAAAGAGACCTGAATACAGAATGATATTTCAGCTCAAAATCTAACACCATGTGCTGTATTAAAAAAAAAAAAAGTCATAAAATGGAATTTCTGAAAGATGTAACAAAGTAAAACTACTATTTACTGAATTTCCATTGAGCATATATATTCTGTGACTTATCCTTTTTTAAACAGTGACACAGAATTATGTATCTTTTCTCTGCATAGGTGATCAAAACTGTACAAGCAGTATTTCTTGACAGGCTGAGTTTTGAGAGATCAGATGAAATCATTGCTTTGACCCATCACAAAATTTTAGGTTCCTGCATAGCTTTCAAAGCTGGAAACCTTCAACTTAGGAGAGAGACATCCTCTCCTAAGCAATCACCTACAATAAATTACTGTTGCATGCGGTACAGACAGTCTCAGATGTACCTCGAGACATATAATTGATTGGACATCCGCAGAACGCAAAACCAAACAGGAACAGCACAAACAAGGAACGCATTTGTCTAACATAAAGTAACTTCGTACTCAATAAAAAGACACTGTAGAAATGGTACATCACAGAGCAGCTTGCTTACCTGAATTGGTATGTAGAACGGTCAGGAGGCAAGTAGGATACAAAAACCAGAGGGAGCATGGAAAGGAATAACACAAATCAGGTGGCTGAAGGAATTGAACTTCTATTAAGGAAAATGGAGAATTTCTGTTTGGATGCTTTCCAAGTAAGGTAGAACATTACATTAATCTTTGGAAAAGGGATCAAACAGAGCAAGTGATTATTTAGAGTATAAGAGGGATGGCACCATTAATGGCATGAAACTAAAAAAAGAAAGAAAGAAATTTAAGATGAATGTCAGATAAGCTTCCCATCTATTAAGCTCAGTAATAGCCTCCCAGTGGAGATGCCACTGCATCACACAATTAAACAAGGCTGGAAGAAATATTGGTTAATCTACAATAGGGAATAACTCTGCATAGCAAAGCAGCTGGACTAGATGTCCTAGCAGGCTTTTTTCCCTTCTGCCTTTAATGTCTTTGATTCTAGAGCTCTCAAGCTGATGTTATGCTCAACTTACAGCTCTCATAGCCCCTATCTAAGGGCAGTCCTTAAGAAACAACAAAAACAATATATCTAATTTTTTGATAGCTGTATAACAAGTCCCCTGTGAAAATACATCTTACTTTAGACGTATTTATCTATCAAGGAGCAGACAGATGCCTAAAGAAAGATGTATGTGTTCAATTAAATACTGTAACAGTATGTGCTTGCTGGCCAGTGGTTTCACTGCATTCCCGTTATTCACTAGCACATATTTGCTAGCCCCACATTTCTGACAGCTTTAAGAAATCCTACACCTTCCCTCAATTTCAGTGTAAAAAACAAACCATCATTTTGCATCTTACAGAGACCAAACATCTGAAAGGGCTGTCTTGTAAACTGAATTCCACTCCTCAGCAGCGAGTCCTAGCAAATAATACACGATACGCAATAAAATAATGAAGATTTTCCCTTTTGCTAGCAGAGACAGACAGATGGACTGATTTAATGTGTTAGTGACTTACTACACAGCTTTTTCTAACTGGGTTACTAAAGCTGACCTTCCTGTTTGAAATTTTGTAGCAGTTATAATATGAGCCATAGAACCCATGATACACTTGGCTGTACATCATAGGGAAAAGGATGGAGGTACTACTGGCTTCCTTTTAAATACGTGGTGCTATGACACCAATAAGCAGCCACAAAGGAAATCCAAGACAGAGTAGGAATTTCAGCCCATGAGTACTGATGTTGAAGGATATTGCCACAGTAAGTGCATTATTCCTTTAATCATGGGGAAAGGTAAGAAGTGAAACGAAAAGTTTCACCAAATTTTAAATATCTAATTGCCATTCATCAAGCCCTTTTTGCACAAAGGATTTCCACAAAAGAAGGTAATTTAGGTAATTAGTGCATTTAAGCCAATGCACACCAGAGACTTAGAGAATTCTGGCTTGTCAGTAACTCTCAGAGCATCAGAGGTGCCAAACACACATGTATCTCTCTCTTAAATCAATGACATTTGGAAATATTACTAAAACCTACTGTCTAACAGTCAGAGGTTAAGGACAGACTCATCACCTCCTTGGGAAACGTTATTACTTGGGCAACATCTTGGGAAAAAGAAATCTTGCTCTTCAGAACAATCGTTCACAAAGGGTCAGCTAAGGAAGCAGCAATAAAAGCTGACATTTCTCACTGGCAACATGCTGTTCATCTCTGCTTGTGCTGGCAGGTTCCTCTGCCTCCCCTCTGTTTGATGCTGATTCTGCCTCATATAGTAGAGAAGGCTCAGCAGTTGGCAAGATCGAAGGGGAATAGTAAGTACTCAGGCTGAAACTGCCTGAAGTAGTTTTAGCTACAGAATCTCTTTTCACAATGACAGGTATGACCCAGGGAAAACAGGTCCCTTGGCATGGCTCCCCATAAGGCTACACTTTTAACTACACTCTATAGAGGCTGGTATTACCCATCCTTAATTAAACCGTGAAGAACTATTTCATGTTCAGGCAAAAGTGTAATGACTAAACATCAGTAAGCTTACGACTTGTGAATTACCAGTGCAAGCTGATATAGAATATAACAATAAATGCTTATCCCTCTTTGGATTACTCAGTGCTGAAGGACAAAAAGAAGGAAAATAATGCAGTGGTTCCCTGGGTGTACAAACCTTAATGTGTCAGCAAATACTGGGTACATGTACCCAAAAATCTGAAATCCCTGACCAATTGGTTACTGAGGAGGTACTGTGACTTCATAACTGGATTAGATTTCTTCACACAGTTGGCTGGTTCATCATTTTGCTCCTTGCTGTCCCACTGGTTTTCTGATTTACCCCACTTGCATGATTAATTACTGTTGTATAACGCTGTGCCAGAAACACCATTCTTGCTTTAAAGCTACTCATTCACAAACATGTACAGACAAGAAGACCCATCTAAGAAACGAATGTAAGTACTTTCATGATCTTTAAAAAAACTGCATAGTGGCTTCTTAATCTAACAAAACAACTGCTAAGGAAGAGCAAACTAGATCACATGTATCAGGGAATGAATCTAGTCAGCAATCAAACTATGTCTCTGAAATAATTTGGAAGATTCATTGACATTTTTATTTATTTATTTTACTATCCTTTATATTTTGTGGCTTCATACAGAAAGTCACACAAAAATGACAAAATCTTCCCATAAACAAAACTCACAAAACTCACAAACGACTGCATTTTCAGAGTTCAGTTTTGCAGGGGGCAGTACTTACATGATTGAAGTTCCACAGAAAGAGCTGACCTGCCAGTTTACTTCTCCAAATTCCAAATTCCCAGTTTTCCATTACTTTATTTATTTTACTACACAGCATACCAAAACATACTTTTACTTACAAACTTAAATTTCATGCTAAGTTCTCTCTGGCCAATTTGTTTTTATAATTTCTCCCTTCAGTGCTTCCTATCTTCCTCTGATGCATTTTATTCACAATCTAATAAGGATTTTCTTTTTCCAGTAACCATGGGGAGTCAGAAAAACAGTTTGGGAACTTTACATGTATATGCTAGTGACTACACTGCAAAACGACATCCATATAGCACAGGTCTACTGAGAACTGCTGCCTACAGGAAGTGAATTAGTTGTGAAAGCACCGTGAAGCAAACAGAGATCGCAGGGGTCAAGAGTGGGAACACAATCTATGTGACCTTTATTTTTTTTCTTACATTTGAAACTACTTGCATGCCGCCACAAAATCTCTAACAGTCTTTGAAATTAGAAACTGAAAAGAAAGATTTCTGAGAGCTCTTGTCTTAATAATGGATGTGTCTTCAAATGGAGAAAAAAAAAAAAAAAAAAAAGCCAGTTTGGCACCGTGGCTAGCACTCACAGTTTATACCAAAGCCTTTTAAGAGCTAAGAGGGCAGCAATAAAACATACATCAGGAAAACTTGTTTTCAAAGTGTTTTAAAATCAGTTCTTCCTAAAGTCCAGTTGGTAATTATTCATTAAAATACCCCCCTGAAACATCTGATACCCACTGTGACAGCCAAGCAATTTGTTTTAATGTCTAAATGTGCGTCTTGAACGTGACACAGCAGAAGCAGCACAATGAAGCACAGCGTTCACTGTAACAGCACCGTCACAGAGCTTTGAGGTGACCAGAGCACTGAGGAATGTGCTTCTGCAGCAGCCAAAAAGCCAGAAAACACTGAGCTTCCCCAGATATTCAAGCTGTTTCAAGCAAAGACAGTCCTACACAGAAATGGTTTTCATTTTGATATGAAAAGTTTATAAATATAAAAGACTCTGCTGGAAATTAAGGCAAAACAACTCCAGGCATTGCCTTCTCCAGGTATTATAGGGATGCTTCTATATGGTTACTTTAATTCAGACATCATTTGGAATATTCAAACAATGTGCAGTAACATCATATTTGCTGTAATCTCTGCAGAGTCACTTCATGCTGCACAGATTGGAGGAATTTTACTTGAAAGCAATGTACTTCTGTTTCTAGTTTGCCTGCCACTCAAAAGTGCATTTTTACTTCTCCTCTAGAGCTCCATTCCCTATACACATGGCACACAACTCTGCTTCTAGAGAAGTTTACAGCTACATCAGTTTGACTGACTAAGCCAGGCATTTGGAATATTTGCTAAGCAATAATACAGAGAAGGTTAAATCTCAGCAGGGCCCACAGACAGGAACCGCATCTTGTTGTCTCAGGTTAATCATGTACCTAATTTGCTGATTATTGACTTGTTCCCACAAAGGATTTTGCTTGGCTTGACATATCAGCTCTGATCAGTGATGAACTGTCAAGTGAAGTTGTTCACTGCAATACAGCTCATGTCCCTAACTTGCAAAACCAAGGATTTCAAACTTCAGGTTTAGAATATTGTCTGGTGTCAACTTCAGACTATTTTCATTCACACAAACCCACTCTGCTTCTTTCTGTCAGAACCAGCTTCTTTCCCCCAACTCCAGTGTGTAACTGCTTGCATTGCTTTTTCCTAAAATTATTTCTCTTGGCAGCAGTTTGGTTGGATTTTGATACAGCAATCTTATGCTGCATTACCCCATTGAAAAATGTCAAGACCCTGCACGAATAGGGGGAAGTAATTCTGCAGATTATACTGATGGATTTCATTAGCTCCAGCTAGGGATGAGGGATGGAATTGCTTCCACTAAATAAAGACTGGAGAAGAGGTTCTCCAAGGAGGAAACAGTAGGAAACAGAGTTGATATTTCTAATTATTTAATTTAACAGAAAGGTTTTTAAATCTATATCCAATGCACGCAATGTCTAGTGAAGGAAGAACTCTGCTTGATCATAGCCTCTCAGATGAGAACATCATAATGAAACCTAGAACCAATACAGCTGATCACAGTGCAACAGAAATTAAAGTTCATTTTCAATTTCAAAAAATATCTTGTACTACCAGTTACTTCCAAGTGGATTTCTTATAGGCAATACAGGCATACCTCCATCATATGAAAGTCAGACAATTATAATTAACTTGCAATTACAGAAAATCTGGACAATCATTTTGGAGTTTTGGTTGAGCCATTTTCACTTCATAATTTATACTTTTGTTTGTTTTCCTCAACTAAATTCCTTTTTTTTTTTTTCTTCCACGGTGGAATAATACGGAAAGAGAGTGCAAAAATTCTGAATTAAATGAATTAATGCTCAGTGAATTATGCTGTTAACCTCACTGGTACAGCCAAAGATCTATAGACAGAACCTCACCCCCAAGACAAGATATTGAAATGCAAGTGCCAAAATCAAAACACTCTCAAGAAAGGCCCCAGCCTTGGAACATATTCTCTTTGGATATCTTCTACAATGCATGGATATCTGAAAATGACTTAAAATTATTCAACAATCCATTACAATTTTCCCAATCTACCTAATTATTGTACAGAACTTCTGGATGTTGTATGCTAGCCCCTAGCTATACAGAAAAATAACCTCTTGTCATTCGTCCTTGATTTGTGGTCTGCTGGTCTTTATTTCTTTCCAGTCAGATATATTTGGGTATCAGATATATAAAGATACTCAGTAACTCAAAGAACACTTCATAACAGTGTACAAGAAGTCAATGGATTTTGGATAATCATAAAGGCTACCTGTTCACAAATTCTTAAAAGTAGATGTCACAAACCCTTGTAAATCTCTTCTCTCATTTTACCCAAGTCAGCCTAAATATTTTGTTATTCTTGCCTATAGGCTGAACCAAAGAACATAATCCAATGCACACTAGTTCCACAAATTTACTTCACACCGGGAAACAGATCCAAAACTCAGTTACATACGTGTACTTTCCACAGAAAGTTCATTGCTTCACTCTTTGTACCATGAGTTTGTGCCTGCACATGGACACAGTTCACTCAGGGCTAGTGTCTCTTGTAGGCACTATGAACATACTTTCTCTGTATGGCAACACAATTGTGTTGAAGCCTCTCTGCTTTTAGCTTAACCTTTTATGTAATTGCAGTCTGCTTCCCAAACGAAAACATAGCATCAGTTCTTTGCAAATCAGGGCAAGGCATCTATCTATCAATGTTAAACAAGGCTCTCCCAAAAGGGAGCCTGGAGTTCTACATTTGATCTTTGGAATTCATATCCTAAATAAAGCATGTAAGTTTAGGTGGCAAATTTTGAACGAAGTACTGATTTTCAGCAGCAAGGATATGTGTAAAGGAAGGGTTCCTTTCCAAAAGCTGGTTCCTATTTCTCCTTCCCTTGCTCTCTAAAGAATGGAGGCTCTTTCCTTTTAGTATGTGTAACTGCAAAATATTATTTCTCATTACACTTCTAATCTAAGTAAACAAGATTCTTCCCACTCACATTAAAAACTTCCAATACATTATTTTTTCTCTCTGTAAAATAAAATGTCTACATATTCTTACAACAAAACTCCAGACACCACTGAACAACCTATAAGAAAACAATACATAAATTTGGCCCTACTAAATTTAAAACTATCTTTACCTACAGCCCTTAGCTCAGTACTGCAGGGTTACTGGAGAAAAAAAAAAAAAAAAAAAAAGTGCTGTTGCTGAGCTTTCAATTCTGTAGCTGGTTAGAAATAAAGAACTGTGGTTCCCAACAGAAAGACTTGCTCAATGTCTAAATGACACATTATACCTTAATACCACCTTTGAGGGAAGAGTAGTAAATTAAAAGCCTTCCAGACATGACCACTGCATTTTGTCCTCTAATATGGCTGGGTAGCAGTGATGCCAAATTTTTTGCATGCCCACCAAATGCCATTTCACCAGGATGTGGAGTTTGAAAGTTCTATGAAGTAAACCCAGAAAATTATGTGTTATCGTATCTAGCTGTACATTCATTCCAGCTGTATACCATGCTTCGATGCTGTGAATTTGACCATCTCCATTCATCATTGTTGACTGGTGCATAACTGGATAAGTCCACTGCAACTGTTGCCACAAATTCCTCAGAGATTTAAAACTTTGAGTGCCAAACTGAAAGTTATTTTAAAAGCCTAACCAGCAAGAACATCATCCTTGGTTATTTCTCTCATCGATGTTCTGTTAGGGTATGTAATAATCTAGAAATCTTAATACCAGGGCAAATATCACAAATTAAGTAATTCCCAGCATACTGCACAGAATCCCTAAACTTAAGCTCCATAAGCTCAAACATAAGTGTAATATAGATTCTCCAAACTTCTGCATTTTCACATTTAAAGCTAAGAAATACATTGATAAAGTACCTGGGCATGAGATGGTGGGAGTCCTCTTCTTATATAAACACCAAAAAGAGCATCCTTCCCTAAGGATATGTTGAACTTCAGGAACTGTGGCTGGCTGATATGGATCTGAGACCGCCAAAAGACTCCAGGGGGCACTTCCTGGGTGACCTTGCGGCCAACTTCTGTTTCTCCACTATCTATGCTGCTATTCCTAGTTACCCATGGTCCTATAAAATGAAAAACAAACAAGTGAGATAACTGCTCTTAATACAGGCATTTTTAGCAGTGATATTCAAGATGAATATCTGTAGCAATGATGCTGTTTATATAAAACTGTGACTTGCTTATTCTGATGCAATTTGTTTGCTGTTTCAAACAGTATGTAAGAATTTGTCCCATATATATAAAGAAAGGTAGCTTTGACCCTTTTTCTGTGGAGCACCTGAAATCTTCCAATCCCTCCAAGCTTTGAATTCCATGACTACTCTTTACTGATCAAATACAGTAACAGTTGAGTCAAACAAGCACATACAAATTTTCTTGTGCTCTTTTCAGCTGAACCTTCTGTGCAACACACACATGCATATATAAATACCAAAAAGGTGAACTGAAGTTATAATTTCAATCTGAATGAACTGATTGCAAATATTCATTACTACTGCTCTATATAATAAAGTAGTCCAATAAGCTCTGAGTCATAGACGAGAGTTTACTGAAGAAATGAAATGCACAGAAAAGGATTTAGAGGACAGTGTCTGTACTCCAAAATGCACCTTCTCACTCTTTTAAGAAAGTTAGCATATCTCAAGTTGCTCCCTTAAAGTTCTCTCTGCCTGAAACAGAGAGACTGTCTACACGTCTCCCTCTTCCCATGCAGATTTGCTGGGTTGGTTAAAATCCATCATTTGGTGGTTCTTCAGAATACATTATAGAAGTCAAGACACGAGGCCCTTCTGGCTGAGCACTCTGGCTTCCAGCCCATGAAATAGCCTTTCAAACACAGTGCAAATCTCTTCTGTTTGGCAGCTGAACAGGATGGTTCTTAGGCTACACATAATTTACATATGGAGTATTTTCAAGCTACAGTATAGAGTAATGTTTGATTATGTCTTCTGATTATGTTCAGAAAAACATAGAAATTTCTGCTACCATCACAGAAGTCTGAAGCTATCATGACAATCTCACGGTGTGTATGTTAACACACACTGGATGGTACTGATACCTATAATACAACTTGACAGTATTTGTTAAAAGCTCAACTGTTTCCTTCGTATTTTTGTTATGGTGCAATGTTATTTTCAATCAGTGATGAATTACTGCTGAAATGTTTTCCAGCACTGTATGAATGTAACAGGATGGCTCAGAATGACACATAATTCCAGCAGGTAAATACACAATAACTTTTCTGTCTTGACTATCTTTAATTGAGAGCTGCAATAGCATGGTTTCAATTTTAGATTCCAAATTATCTGCATTAGCAGCACTTACACTTGTACATAATGAAACAGATATTACGTTGGCAGTGTCTTGAAATGGTAAAAGAGTGCTCTGAATACCAACTGCTGTACAGGTTTTGGTTATATTTTTTTTTTCTTTTTTTTTGCTAATGGTTCTACAAAAACATTACAGCACTGACAAAAATGAAGAAGCTGCAAAGACAGGCTGCAAAGAAAGGAGAAATGGTTGAGAATGTCAAGCAACATGCCCTTAGAGCTGCACAAGAACTGCAGACACATCAACCAGAGTCAAGCAGGTAATGTTTCATGAAAACTACATGATTTTATTTCTAATTGATTACTGCAACAGAGGATATTTCAAAGTCCCTACCTCTGTGAAGTCAGGCACCATCACACGAGAATTTAAGTTACTCCATACCTATGTGGGTAGGAAAACAGATGCAGAACACACGAAAGCACCTGCTGAAGGCTGCACTGGGATCACTTACGGAACGGGAAGTCAAACTGAAAGTTGAAGCTCCTTCTTCTCCTTTCAGTACATCACTCTACTACACATCACGTTTCTAAGTCATAGCAATATTTTTTTTTCCCATGCTCTTGAAATGTGTTCTGTAAATTATTTCTTTGGAAGCAGACTGTACATACTTAAATGAACATCAGCTGTATGTAATCTGTGAACAGACTCCTTGACTCATTCTAAAGAATTTCGTTCTTCAGGAGCCATAAATTCACAGCGAAAGAGAAACATTCAAAGAAAAAGCTATTTCCAGGAGTATTACAGTAGGCATTATTATTATTATAAAAGCTGTATAAGGAATAAAGGTGAGAAGATTAGTACACTAGTGCCTCTTCCAGTATTCTCTGTCCACTCACCAATGAATTATCTGAATTACATATTTTTCAATTTGCTCAATTTCATGACTACAACAAAGCTGCCTCAGTCCACCAAAGCTGGTGCAAACCTTTGAGAAGCAGAATACTGAAATCAGCAGATGTAATCTACTTCTCAAAGCACCATGTAAAATGGATGTGAATCTGTAGCCCAGATCTGTTCCACAGTAGTAGCCATGCCTTCTAAGTGCAAATATTAGTAAAATGAATGCTAATTACACCACCTCAAAATTGACATGGTATTGAATGACCTTGTGCATATATCTGATTTACAGATTTTTGACTCAAGCCTTATTTTTTTTTTCTACATCAAATAGAGATTAATACTGCATATTGCTTCAGCCATTAGACCTCACTTTTATCCAAGTGCAAAAAGCTCTCCGAGCATGCACCAGTAATACCACCATTGTCTCTGCTGGAGTTTATGGCTTCACTGGCTGTTAAAGCAGCCCCAAAACACCACCATTAACTTTTGCTAACAATATTGCTTTGAAGTCAACTGAATATATATTCCCTAGAGTTACTTGGCAAATAAATTGAATTCCTACCCCTATTAAAAGGCAAATCTTCAACAGAGGCTCAAGCTTTAGTACTTCTGGATGAACATAGCCTTAGTCTCCTTTGTTCTTCCAAAATTCTGTTTCGTAAAGCTGAGAAAGGTGTCTGTAGTAATATGTAACCCTCTAATACATCAAGCTAAAAACAGAATATTCCAACCATCAAGAGAACCAGCATTACAGTCCTACTACTTCAGTGCACACCTCATAGGTAAACAACCTACCAAATATCAAACTTTCCCCTAAAACCATTAGGGGAACCATTTTTGTATTTTCTCATTGAAATTATGAAATTACTGTCTTAAAATTTGGTGAGAACAGCAGATAAGGCACATGAATTTATTTAATCAACCTAAAAACATGATTCAGGTTACTAACACTGAAATAACCCAGTTCAATTTGGAATTATTTTAGGAAGCATCTCCCCATAGACGTACTTTTCTTGCTGTAGTACATAAATGACCTATTTTCCAGTTCTCCAAACCACTCCTAGAATATGGCTCAGGAAACTCTGCTTAGGAAAAGAATTGTGACAGCTAGAGAAGTTCAATGCAGTAGAGGATTTTAAGAGTGAGTTAGATGAGCATCAAGTGATAGATGTGTGATCAAGACATACTTAACATAAATGACCCCTTATCTTTAAGTCTTTATTTTTTCTAGTATGGCATATCTCTGCTCTGCACCCATGCCATGTGTATGAGAAACTTGGCTGCTGCCTTGTCTCTGGCATGTGAAAGGGTCCCTTATTTTTAGTTTCCAGAATGTAACACATCTTGTTTCTATGGCTCTAAGTTATAATGCTGAAGTAACATGACTTAGAAATGCTTTAAGTCCTGCTAAAATAGGAGTTTTATGTTTTCGACTAACTTCTTGTAAAGGTTTAAGTCCAGGAAGCCAGAAGAGCTCTAAAGACTATGCATTACTGAATTATATTCTCATAACTTCATGCTGAATTACTCTCCCATTATGATGAAACACAGAACCTGGAAGAGCATCTTGGTACTGCTCCTTGCTTTGTCACAGCCAATGTACCTGAGTTGCTCATGATCTCTATGTTCTCAGGTGATTATTTGTAAAACAGAAATATTAATAATGATTTATTAAAAGCTCTCACCTTGAAGAGAAATGCACTGCAGTCACATAAAAAATACTACAGGAAGGGTCTCGACACTGACCTCGTCAGTGTTCCTTCCTCCACAAGTTAGAAATACAGAAATGAAATGCAAAGTATGTACATGTGTGAAAACTGAATCAATTCTCAGACAACAGGCTTAAATTTACTTTAACTTAAAAAGCAGAACACCTAGCTTTATACTTTCAATAGGTTTTTTTGTTTGTTTGTTGTTTTTGTTGTTGTTGTTTTTTCTCCACTAACAGCTTCACTTATACTTTGTCTCTAGAGACTCCTAAAGTAAACTTCTCTTATAGCTTCCTTCTGTCTTCACCTCTTAATGCAGCGAATGCATCTTTCCACCTGATTCACTCCCTCCAGGTATTTTTGGAACCTTTTCCATTTTGATGGACCACTGCAGATCACATTCAAAGAACATAAACTGCAGTTAAGTGAAGTTACAGATGTGACAAACTGACAAATCTGGGAAGAAAGACTAATCCAAAGAACTCATACTACCGTGAGCAAATAAAACACAAAACCATTACTTCTGCTGTGGGTGGCTGTCTTTGAGTTTTGTTTGTTTATCTCATAACCCTATGGATACTTGATTCCCCCCCATGATTTCCTCTCTATAAACATCTGCAAAAGAGAGTTTTAAAAGCATACTTCTTCTTTTTACCCAGGGGAGCCATTTCAATCTCTCAGTCAAACATATATTTATCAACTAAATAACACTTACTCATTTAAACTGCTGTGTTATTTACCCAGTTGAATTACTATTTTGGCATATACATTTGAAAAGACTGTTTTAGCCCTCGAGTATATTTGCCTTTGAAGCTATCAAGCAGGCAATACATGACAACAGCAAGGCAAACTCCCCCACTTGTCAGCTGGCCTCATCTTGGAGCTGGAGGTCAGCTTCAAGGTGGCAGCTGGTCCAACATGCCCACTCAGCCTTTCATTTAAATAACATCTAGCAGTGTCAGCTATGCTGGCAGAACTGTATCTACACTGAAACCAGATACACTTGGTATTAGAGACTCCTCTCCCATAAAATAGTCAAAATTAAAAAATAAGAATTAAATCTGGCTACCACCAGTGTTACACTACAGACATTCCACTGAAACAGTAATTAACTTCAGCACTTTGATGATGCGCCTAGCATTGCTGACTGTAAAGTGTCTTGATACCATGCTGGAAAAATACCT